ATTGGCCAAGCAGCATTGTATCTAATACAGGTTTCTGTGTATTAATTTGGGCTCTGACTCAGGCAGGCAGCTGGCGAAAAGCGCACATGAGGCGGTAGAACTCGGGCGGCTTTGGCAGAAAGATTTATCATAACAAGAAAACTCTTGGACCTACTAAATACTTCTCTTTTTTTGTTTTGTTTTGTTTTTTCGAGACAGGGTTTCTCTGTGTAGCTTTGGAGCCTATCCTGGCACTCGCTCTGGAGACCAGGCTGGCCTCGAACTCACAGAGATCTGCCTGCCTCTGCCTCCCGAGTGCTGGGATTAAAAGCGTGCGCCACCAACGCCTGGCGGAACTTCTAAATACTTATGGTGACATTTCAGAATACAAAATCATTATAAGAAAAACAGTAGCCTTCATCTGTATCATCAGTCTACTCTTAGTGAAAGAAACTAGGTAAAATATCCCACCAAAGAAGTATCTAGGAATATATCTAACCAAAGAGGTGAATGACCTCTTCAATGAAAACTGGTTATTGAAGGAAATAAAGAAGCTAGATGATTGTAAAGGACCAAAAATTAAAATTAATAAAAGTTTAAAAACTCAGGCCCTGAAAAGGGAACTTTTAATGACTGGGAATGCTGTGGCTGACACCTGAGCCCTTCTCTCAACTTGGATCAACATTCCTATGTCTGCTAATTTCTGGTCATAGGTTGTAAAGACCCCTTGGCCCAGGGGATAACTGACAGACCCTGTGACTCTGTAACCCTGCAACCCTGTGCCCTGTCTTATCTTACTCAAATGTATCTTGCTGAAATATATAGTTACCGCCTTACTCTGTACTTTGCATGACTTTAAGTAACCATGGAAACTCTGAAATTTGTGGCCTTCAACCTTATGGTCTTCCCCTTTAAAAGCTTCTCTTTATGGCTTGTTGGCATCTCATTTCCCTACCATGGAGTGAGATCCAAGCTGGACAGTTTGAACAGTAAAAAGAAACCTGTGCATTTGCATCGGAGGTGTTGGATCCTTCGGTCAGTCTGGGGCTCTGTGAATCTTACACAATTGGTATTCCATATTCCTGAACTAGTAGAATTAACATTGTGGAATGGATATTAATTTACAGCATAAATTTAATACCTATAAGAATCTAATGTTATATTTCACATGTTTAGAAAAATTATACAATAAAAGGGTAAGAACAATGCTGGGGGTATTCCAATACTCAACCTCAAATCACACTATAAAAGCTATGTGAAAAAAGACAGCCTGGGAATGACATTAAAAATAGACAGATATGACCAGTGGAATAGAATAGATGATCCAGAAATAAATGAGAAAACTCTGCTAAAAACAAATTAATTTTGATAAGGAAAGAAAAAATAAACATTGGAAAAAAGATAATCCGTTCAACAAATGGTGCTGGCAAGACTAGATTCTTACCTGCAGAAGAAAGATGTTATTCTTATGTTTCACTTTGTGCAAAGCTCAATTCAAAATCTCTTAAACACCCTTTGCTTAATATCTAAATGATGAAATGTCTAGAAAAAACTTCAGGAATACCATTTAAGATATTAGGTAGGCCAAACTTTCACAATAGAACACCAATGGTACAGAAACGAATCCCAGGTATCAAGAGATGGGACTTATGGGAAAAGAAAAAGGTTTTGCACAGCAAAGGAAATGATCCTCAGAAGAAATAGCCTGCAATTTTGAAGAAAGCTTTACTAGCTACACTACAGTCAAAGGGTTTCTATCCAGAATTTTCAAATTGCAGAAACTAATAAAACTTCATCAACAAATGAGCAAATAAACCTAATAGTTTTTGAAAAACAAACCAAGACAGAAATACAAGTGGCTTTTAAGAAATGTTCAATATCCCTAGAAGTCTAGGAAAAACAAATTTAATCTAGTTTGAGACATCACCTTACCTTGGTCAGAACGGCTATCATCAAGAAACCTGACAGACAGCAAGGGAAGAGATAGATTAATAGAGGGAGTCATTATGGGCTTAACGAGAAATCTGACACCAGGGAAAGCTCCAGGGATCACAAGGATGACCCCAACTAAGAATCTAAGCAATAGTGGAGAGGCTACCTTAAATGCCTTCCCCCATAATGAGATTGATGACTATTTTATATGCCATAATAGAGCCCTCATCCAGTAGCTGATGGAAGCAGAAGCAGAGATTCACAGCTAAGCACTGAGCAAAACTCCTGGAATCCAGTTGTAGAGAGGGTGGAGTGATGAATAAAGGGGTCAAGACCATGTTGGGGAAACCCACAGAAACAGCTGACCTGAGCAAGTGGGAGCTCATGGACCCCAGACTGACAGCTAGGGAACCAGCATAGGACCCAAAGAGGCCCCCTAAACGTGGATGTCAGTTGGGGGACTTGGACAGTATATGGAGCCTTTGGTGGTGGAACAGTATTTATCCCTTGTGCATGAACTGGCTTTGGAAGCCCATTCCCTATGGAGGGATACTCTCTCAGCCTAGACACATGGGGGAGCACCTAGGTCCTGTCCCAAATGATGTGACAGACTTTATGATCCCCCCATGGGAGGCCTCACCCTCCCTGATGGAGGGTGGAATGGGGAGAATGAAAGGATGGGAGGGAGAGGGAACTGGGATTGGTATGTAAAATGAGGTTGTTTTTAATTTGAATAATAATTAATTAAAAAAGAGTATGATAACAAATGTTCAAGAAACTGCAAAGAGAGTATATCACTAATTCACTGTGGGTATGATGCAAATTAATACAGCCATTGAGAGTCATTTTGGAGATTTCACAAAAAAAATTAAAAATATAACTACCAAAGAACCTACCAATTGTACTTTTAGACATATATCCAGAGACCTCCGTATTCTGTTGTTGAAATATTTGCACCCCATGCTTATTGCTGCCACACTTATGATAGCAAAAACTGTGAATGAAACTAGCCATTCACCAACAGTTGATTGGATACTGAAAATGTGATTTGTGTACATATACAAAAAATGGAATGCTAATCTGCTCTCAGGAAAAATGAAATTATATAATTTATAGGAAAATGGATGGACTTAGAATGTATAATAATTAGGTCTCACAACTCTGAAAGTTAAAGCTACAAGCTATCCCTCATTTCTAGACTCTAGTCAATAATATGTATCTATCTGAAGATAAATAAACATGTGTGCACAGTATAACAAGTAGAAAAGAGAGCAAGAAAGGTGAAGTATTGGGAAACGCAGAAGAAATGAATTCTTGTAATGGACAGGAAATATAAAAGAGGATATAAAGGTAAACATTTTGTAAGTTTAAATGGGTCATGGACTTTTTTGACTTTTGGTGGTGGATGAATACAAAAAACATATTTGATAGTGAAAGTCTAAATTGATTGTGACTTTCTATAGCTTCAAAGTTGTTATTCTTACCAATTATTCATTGAAATCTATATATTTGGGGTCTGGCTAATTTTGGTGTGTGACACAGCCATTTTGGAAATCAGTATGGCAGTTTCTCAATATTGGCAATCAATCTACCTCAAGACCCAGCAATATCCCTCTTGGGCATATACCCAAAGGATGCACACTCACACCACAAGGATACTTGCTCAATTATGTTCATAGCAGCATTATTCTTAGTAGTCAGAACCTTTAAACAACCTAGATGCCCTTCAACCAAAGAATGGATAAGGAAAACGTGTTACATGTACACAATGGAGTACTACTCAGTGGTAAAAAACAAAAACAAAAAACAAAAAACAAAAACAATGACATCTTGAAATTTGCAGGCAAATGGATGAAACTAGAAAAAGCCATCCTGAGTGAGGTAACCCCAGACACAGAAAGACAAATATAATATGTAGTCACTCACAGTGTATATTAGACATAAAGGAAAAAACAAGCCTACAGGCCACAACCCCAGAGAACCTAGGTAACAAAAATACATACATGGATCCATCTATGAAGGGGAAAAAGACAAGATCTCCTGAGTAAATTGGGAGCATGGAGAGGCAGGGGGGAGGGAGGGAGGAAGACGAAAGAAGAAAAGGAGAGTGGGGAAAAATTTACAGATCATTAACAATAAAAAATGGCAAAAAATTTTGTGTGTGACATTTTTTGATTTGCAAAGATTTCTTATTATAAAATTTATAATGTTAAAATTTAGCAGAAGGGAAGATTGGTAGTGTACATTGATATGAAATGATGAGGTGGGCTACTGGCATGAAGAAGAGCTAGCAGAAGAGGGAACAAAGGGATGAAAAATATTTGTGAAAATGTTATGGTGAAATCCATTACTTACATGAGCAGGTACACAAGCACATGCAGGTGTATGTATCCACACACAAGTGTCTGTGCCTGCACACATACCACATGCAGGTGTATGTATCCACACACAAGTGTCTGTGCCTGCACACATACACACACACAGACACACACACATACACACATGCACATACACGCACACACATACACACACACACACACACACGCGCGCGTGCACACACATGCACACACACGCACACACTTATACACATGCACGCATGCACACACACATACATGCACACACACACATACACACACACACACACATGCACACACACACATACACATACACACACACATACACACATGCACACACACGCATACACACATGCAGGAAGCGCCTACATGGCAGCAGGACTTGAGTGGCCTGGTGTAAAGATTTATTGTTATAGATCAGAGTGATTGATAGAGGGTGAACACAACCACAGTACATGCAGTATATCTGCATGAGATTGCTAAAACAAAATTAAATGTCATAAAACCCAGTTATAAATTAAAAGAACTGAAGTTCTACTCTCATAGCACTTATGTTTTGGGTGGCTCCAAATATTCACATAATTTTGTGTATATTTATTAGTGTGTACAGGCGATTCACAGCTGGACTTAATCTATCACACAAAAAGCAAACTTCCAATAAACTTGGTCCATACTTGCATCATTATAATTGATCGCTGTTGATACCTACCCAGGTGTTCGAATCAAGTCACATACCTGATCACGGTGGGTAGAAGCTCATTTGAGTATAGGTTATTACAGCTAACAATCATCATAGAATTTGCTCCCGCCAGTGTCATAAAAACCAAATGGAGAGTCTGCATTTCTGTGGAGAGGAAAATCAGGGACAGTGATCATTCTGAGATAAAAGAATTTACTTTTCACTTCCCAAGTGGGGAATACGGAGTAGGGAAACGGCACAGAGGTATAAGTCCTCATTGACTGATAATTTAAGAAAGGTGACCTATCTGCATGCACTCGTCTGTGGAGAATCAACTCCACTGTATTCACACACCTGACATCTCTGACATAACTTCAGAAGTAGTGATCTCCTTTAGTCTAAGAGACACTCATTGGCTTTCAGCTTTTCTACCCAGGATCTCACTGTCCTTCCAACAGACTGTAGGAGTGCCATGGGGGAAATTACTGAGGACTGTGTACTCATTCAAATATTCAGAAGAAATGTGACATGGTTAAGGGTGATGGAGGGTGAACATGACCAGAGTTCATTCTATCTACACTCGTATGTTTTGTCAAAAACAAAAGTAAATGTTATTAAAATACAACAAAATTTAGAAGAATAGAAGTCGCATTTCTCATGACACTTGCATTTTGAGTGACTCCACGTATTTACAAGAGTTGTTTATTTGTTCAGTGTGCAATATGAGGGAAGACTGTCCTTGAAGGACAGACATGAGCAAGCTGGAGATTGGCTTGATTTGAAGTAGTATCTCAAGATTCAAGAATAAGGACTTTGGGACTGGAGAGGCATTTCAGGATTTAAGAGCACCAATTATTCTTCCAAAGGACATGGGTTCAATTCCTAGCACCCAGATAACGGCTTACAAATGTAACTATCATTCCAGAGGACCTGATACCCTCACACAGGCATACATGTAAACAAAACACAAATGCACATAAAATAAAAATAGGTAAATAATTAGAAAAATAATAAGGATTTCTAGGATGCTCATCGGTCTTTTCATAGAGCTGTTTCCTTTTCAGTGAGAATAGTCTCATGAACACTTCCAACACTGGAAGGTGCTTTGAGGAGAGGCAGGAAATGGATGTTGCTGCTGATATTGAAGAGTTGTGAGTTTAAAACACACCACAGTCCTGGGTTTCAACAAAGATGGGAACTTCCAGGGGACAGTACTCCTTGAAATCATCCACTTCATCCAAAAAGTTATGTCTGGCAGTCCTGCTTCCTAGTGCACTCCTATTTCCTTGCCCTTGATTTGTACTTCAAAAGAAGCAGTCCAATGAGGGTTGCACTTGTAGTGACTCAAGAGTCACAACTGTGTTCATATAGCTTGAGAAATACATTGTCACTAAAGGTAAAGCAATAAGACTCAGTGGGACAGAGGAGCTGACAGTGTATTTTGGTCAGAACTGGTTCAGAATTATAAGAGCTAAAACCTACATGACAGCTATGAAAATATTATTGGGGTGGAACAAGACAGGTACAGAATCTTCAGAGGGATTGGAGAGATGAGGACCCAGAAAATGATGTAATTATATTTTAATTAAAAATGTAATTGAGTGGAGTTTAAGGCCAGCCTGGTCTCCAGAGCAAGTGCCAGGATAGGCTCCAAAGCTACACAGAGAAACCCTGTCTCATAAAACCAACAACAAAAAAGTCGGTGTCTTCCAGATTCAAGACCTGGATCAGAGGTGTACCCTCCATTTCTGGATTGTAGTTTATTCCGGAGGCAGTCAAGTTCACAACCTAGAATAGCCATCACAGATTCCATGTTTCAAGTTTATCATCATCATCATCATCATCATCGCAGCAATTGCTAGAGATTGAACCCACGGCCTCAAACATACAGACAAGACGGGGAAAGTCAGATTGTTGGATTTGACTGCTGTACACTGTGACTTTTGGGAGCATATGCACTGCAAACTATGAAGGTCACTGCTCTCATGGGATCCTGAAACACAGGCAGCCAATAGAGTCATGCCCCAACTCAGGGGAGAAGAAATATTGGAATACGGTATCTGGAGAAGCCCTTGGAGACCCTGTCCATCACTTCCTGCCCCATCTCACAGTCAGACTTGGATTACCTGCTCCAGTGCATGGACCTTTCTGAGTTCAAACATCTGTCGCTGAGTTCCTTACTTTTACTTGATTGGGTTAGACCACTTGGAATTCCCCTTGAAAGAGTCAAAGACACCTTGCAAACTCTGGAATTGGAGAAATACTGGCTGGAGGATTCTGAATTTCATACTTTCATGCCTGCCCTGAGTCAATTCTCCCAGTTCCTCAAGATCCATTTCTATGGTAATAAGCTCTCTCTTCCTGTCCTGAAGAAGCTGCTTCACCTCACAGACAGGCTAAGCAAGCTGTCCCAGGAGCTGTACCCTGCCCCTCTGGAGTGCTATGACAATAGGGGCCTACTACTTGTACTCAGATTTGACCAACTTTGTCCTGAGCTCCTGGATATAGTCAGGTCCAAAAGACAGCCCAAAGCAGTTCCTTTTGTGACAATTCTCTGCTGTAAATGTTTTCAACCCAGTGTCTATGACCTGGAGAGCAGACATTGCCTTTGCTGGAATAAGTTGGGGAAGGATTCTGCTTGGTATGGAGATATGAAAACCTAGTGTGCTAGATGGATGAATTCCTCTCTGGGATTACTGGAGCTTGAGACAGATCCCCACAGAGATCCCCTACCATGAGTGGCTGAACAATTGTGTTGATTGCATGTAATAAATGTGCTTGTGTGTCTCCTCCAGAGCGCACAGTCTACTCCATTCAAAAAAAAAAAATGTAATTGAGCAGTGATCCATTATTGATCTACAGAAACTTGGGAATATATGGCGCCATGTTCCAAATATTTCTTGAATGAACTAGACTTATTTAAACCAAAACTTACTGATTTTTACTCTTCCCTTAGTATGTGAGTGGATGAATGTTTCTAAATGTCTGGTTACAAAAAATTCTCCGGACATATTCTTTTCTCATAAGTAGGACCAGAAAAAACACTGAGGAAAGATATAGGATTTTTTTTCTATCTCAGGCTAAGCTTGTTATTCACCTTGTGGGACAAACACTATGGCCAGGATGAAGATTCCGAACAGGAAACAGAGAAATAGTAGATATATCCTACGACCAATGTGATTCAATAAAAAGCTTCCAGCAGAGGCTAGGATGGTCATTGCTCCAGAGACACATCGCAGTAGGATGACATTCGTAGTCAGGTGGTGGAGATGGAGAGAGAAGCCAAGCAAAGGGATATTTGATGTAACTCTAAAAGAAACAAAGTGGATTGTCAAATCATATTACTTATATTTCATGTATAAGCAAGAATATCATTACTCCAAGAGATAGTTTTAGTTGTTAAAGCATAATGGCATATCTGCATTTTGGAATATTTACTTGAATAATAATTAAAAATCAACCTGATATCACTGCATCCTGATATGACATGTTATTTTTTTTTTATTTTGAAGGAGAGGTAGAGGATTGTGGAATGCATGATAGTTCAAATCAGCTTTCTAGAGTTTTTTCTAAGTTAATCTTAATGAAGGTTATAACTTTTGTAATTTTAAAAATATTATTAGTTCGTTGAAAAATACATACAATGTATTTTGATGACATTCCTCCCTAATTCTTCCTTGTAACTTCTCCCAGGCCCACCGATGCATCTTTACAACCTGCAGCTTAATAGCCTATTTTTTTCATTGAAAATATAAGTTTTGGTTGTGAGCCTAGCCTTTAATGGCTGAGCCATCTCTCCAGCTAACTGAATCCCCAGAGACCCGGGGATAGCCCCAAATCATTCAGTACTGCATCTGCCATCATTGGAGCCTTGACCCTGCCCCCACATGGAGAGAAAGCCCAGAGACCTGGGGGCACCCTCTTCACACCCCAAACCATGCAGCACTGTATCTTCCACCCCACCACTGGAACCTTGGCCTTGTCCCCACTGGGCGAGGAAGATCAACCACCTAAGCCACAGCCCCACCTACACCAATTGGAGGAAAAGAGATTCCCTGAATCACAAGCCCCACCTGCACCCACTGGAGAAAGAGCTGGGTACACAGCAGTATAAGAACACATTCAACAACATAAGGAGTGATATGACACCACCAGAGTCTAGAGATTCTACACCAGCAACGCAGATGAAGCAAGAGAAAACAACCTTAAAAATAACTATATGAAGATGATAGAGGCCCTTAAGAGGAAATGAGAAACTCTCTTAAAGAAATGGAAGAAAAGACAAAAAATGGAAGAAATGGAGGAAAATACAAACCAAAAAAAATGTAAGAAATCAACAAATCTCTTAAAGAAAGCCCTATTGATCCAAGAAATCCACAGTCTACTGACATCACTGTGCTAGTCCCACCTCCAACCACCAAGAAAGGGAGTGTCTCAGACACACCTGCACCCATTATGAGACCCATTGGAGGAGAGGAAGAAACCCCACCTGCACCCGCTGGAAGAATGGATGAGAAGATGACAATATAAAAACACATTCAACAACAGAAAAAACAATATGATGTCACCAGAGTCTAGGGACTCTACACCAGCAAGACCTGAATATCCTAAATGCAGATGAAGCAGAAGATAATGACCTTAAAAACAACTTCAGAAAAATGATAGAGGCCTTCAAAGAGGATATGAGAAAATCCCTTAAAGAAATGAAAGAAAAACAAACCAAAAGATGCAAGAAATGAACAAATCTCTTAAAGAAAGCAAGAAAAGCCAAGAAAAAACAATCAGACAGATGAAGTAAACAATTCAAACAGGTCAAGATCTGAAAACTGAAATAGAGACAGGAAAGAAAACACAAACTGAGGGAACTATGGAATTAGAAAAGCTGGGTAAATGAGCAGGAACAACAGATGCAAGCATAACCAACAGAATACAAGAGATGGAAGAGAGAATCTCAGGTGTTGAAGATACACTAGGAGAAATAGATTTACCGACCCAAAAAAATCTTGAGTCCAACAAATCCCTAACACAAAATATCCAGGAAATATGGGACACCATGAAAAGGCCAAACCTAAGAATAATAGGTATAGAAGAAGGTGAAGAAACCCACCTCAAAGGTGCAGAAAACATGTTCAACAAAAATCATAAAGGAAAACTTTCCCAACCTAAAGAAAGACAGAAAGACATGCCAATGAAAGTACAAGAAGCTTACAGAACACCAAATAGAGTGGACCACAAAAAAGCCCCCTCACCACATAATAACCAAAACCCCAAACACACAGAATAAAGAAAGAATATTAAGAGCTGCAAAGGACAAAGGCCAAGTAACGTATAAAGGCAAACCTATCAGAATTACACCTGACTTCTCCAAGGAAACTCTGAAGGCCAGAAGATCCTAGACAGATATTTTTAAAACACTAAGAGATCATGGATGCTAGCCCAGAAAGCAAAGCTTTCAATCACTATAGATGGGGAAAACAAGATATTCCATGACAAAACCAGATTTAAATAATACATATCCACTAATCCAGCCCCACAGAAAGTACTAGAAGGAAAACTCCAACATAAGGAAGTTAACTACACTCACAAAAACATAGGCAATCCCACATTACCAAAAGCAAAAAGGGGGGGACAACAAATTCAAAAATAACAGAAATCAACAATCAATGGTCATTAATGTCTCTTAATATAAATGGTCTTAATTCACCTATAAAAAGACACAGGCTAACAGAATAGATATGAAGACAGAATCCATCCTTCTGCTGCATACAAGAAACACACCTCAACTTCAAAGACAGACATTACCTCAGAGTAAAGGGTTGGGAAAAGATTTTCCAATCAAATGGACCCACAAAACAAGCTGGTATAGCTATCCTAATATCTAACAAATTAGACTTCAAACTAAAATTAATCAAATGAGATGAAGAAGATCATTTCATACTTGCCACAGGAAAAATCCATCAAGATGCAGTCTCAATTCTGAACATCTATGCCCCAAATACAAAGAAACTCACATTCTTAAAAGAAACATTACACTAAAACTTAAATCACACATAAAACCCCACACACATATAGTGGGAGACTTCAACACCCCACTCTCACCACTGGACAGGACTATCAGACAGAAACTTAAGAAAGAAACAAAGGAACTAGAAGCCCCTCAACTGAAGAATGGATAAAGAAAATGTGGTGTATTTATATAATGGAGTACTACTCAGCAGGAACAAAAAGCAATGAAATCGTGAAATTCACAGATAAAGGGATGGAACTAGAAGAAACCATCCTGAGTGAGGTAACCCAGACACACAAATACAAACATGGTATATACTCCCTCATAAGTGGATATTAGACATAGAGCAAAGGATAACCAGCCTATAATCCACAACCCTATAGAAGCTAGGAAACAAGGAGGACCTTAAGGGAGATATACATGGATCCCTCAAGAAGGGGAAAGGGACAAGATCTCCTGAGTAAATTGGGAGCATGGGGGAGGGGGATGGAAGGGGAGAAAGAAGAGGAGAGAAGGGGAGGAGGGAGTAGAACATAAGGGATCAGAGGAAGGTCAAGTTGGGGGAAGAACAGAGAAGGAAAGCAAGGAAAATGATACCTTAATAGAGGGAACCTTTACGGACTTAATGAGAAATCTGGCACTAGGGAAATGTCCAAGGATGACCCTAACTAAGAATCTAAGCAATTGTGGAGAGGCTTAAATGTCCTTCCCCTATAATGAGATTGATGACTAACTTAAATGCAATCATAAACCCTTCATCGAGTAGCTGATGGAAGCAGAAGCAGAGATTCACAGCTAAGCACTGAGCAGAACTCCTGGAATCCAGTTACAGAGAGGGAAGAGTGATGAGCAAAGGGGTCAAGACCACACTGGGGAAACCCACAGAAACAACTGACTTCAACAAGTGGGAGCTCAGGGACCCCAGAATGGCAGCTAGGAAACCTGAATATTGAACCAGTCCCCCTGAATGTGCATGTCAGTTGGGGACCTTGGGCAGTGTATGGGGCCTCTGGCAGTGAAACCAGTATTTATCCCTAGGGCAGGGATGGGAGCCCATTCTCTATGGAGGGATACTTTCTCAGCCTAGATACATGGGGGAAGGCCTAGGTTCTGTCCTAATGATGTGACAGACTTTGACGATCCCCCATGGGAGGCCTCACCCTCCCTGGGGAGTGGATGGGGGATGGGATGAGGGGGTTGGTGGGGGACATGGGAGGACAGGAGGGAGAGGGAACTAGGATTGGTATGTAAAATAAGATAGTTTTTAATTTAAATAAAAGTTAAATTTAAAAAATGCCTCTACAATGCCATCAAATCTACTGATTAGTACTTGACTGAATGACTAAGGTAAGATGCTAGACTCTGAAGAATAAAAGTGAATATGAACTGGCAATGGATAATCTAAATACCTAGCATACTATACAATATTGGATGAAGAACAAAATTGTCAGCTTAGAGACTTTTTTTTTTAATTGTTCACATAAAAAATATTGTCTCCCCAGAAAACTTCATCTATTTGGTTTTATTTAGATGCTCAACAGAGGCCACACCTTAGATCATATATCACTTAGAACTTGACAGCTTTGGTCCTCCAGAATGTGGGCAGGCTTCATGAAGCCACTTGAATACCTAAAAGAAAAGATTTGAGCACAGAAGGAATTCTCTCCCCAGACTTTCTCTCCCACAGGTTGAGAAAGACAACCTAAGACAGACACAGTTGTTTATCCTGTGACAGAAGCTCAGGTGCTATAAAAATAATAAAAAAAGGAGGAATTGTGGGAACCCACATAATTCACTCCTTTCCATTTTGACTTAAGGTCAGAGAGTTTTTGCCTGCTTTTGCTCTTCCAAGTTGAAACAACAAGGATGTCTGGCCTAAGGGTATGAACTCAACAGGATGCTTGGTGTAGGATATGGTTGCTTCATGTCCTGCCTGAACAATAGAATACTTAACTCAGGATGTAGTTACTTGATGCTTGGGGTATTGAGAAAGTAATTTTGCTTGCTTGTTCTTTGTAGTTTGCTTTCTCCCCCTCTTTTGATGGGAGTATAAAAAGATTGTGCACAATAAATATGGGTGGTCCAGTATTCACTGATGCCCTCCTGACTCTTAAATAAAAAAGAAAATATAATTTTCTCATACAATATATTCTGATTTAAGTTCCCCTTACCCTACTCCTCCCAGAGGTCCCCTCCTTCTCTCTCATGAAGATCCACACCCATTCTGTCTCTCATTAGGAAACAAATAGGCATCTAAGGAATAATTAACTAAGGTAAGATAAACCAAAACAAGTCTGAATAAGAAGAACAAACAACCAGAAAAAAAGACTGAAAGAGGAAAGCACAAGAAACAGATATAGATTCAAAATTACAAATGTTCAAACATCCAGGAATCCCTTAAAACACAGTATTGGAAGCTATAATGTCCATATAAATGACCTGTAAGATTTTTTGAGAGCCATAACACAACATTATTTGACAAAATATGATCCAAAGATGCCATTGAGCTCATCTTGTGATGGCCATATACTGCCAGGAAGGGGGCCTACCCTTAAGCGTGGTTTGTTTCCCTAGTGAGATTCCCTTGGGGTAAACTAAGTTTTCATTTGCAAGTGGACTGGTTCCTCCCATGCCACCACCTGATATTTCTTCAAGTTGTGGTTATAACTTTACCTTTGTATATTATTTGTTGAGATTTATATATACTCATGTAATTTATATCTCAAATTTTATCTCCTTTGAAATGGCAACAGAGAAATAGTCAGATAAAAGTTCATCATGAGTCTGTATTGATGAACCTGCCAGGGTGCTCTAAAATTACCTCACACTGTAGAATTTGTTCTATGTTTATATATTGAAAACCCTTAAAATACCTCAAGATACAGAAATCTTTCATTTTTTTATCCCCAACTCTGCTAATGAGAAAATACATTTCTATAGTGTACATTTTTTGTTTGTTTCTGTTTTTCCAAGACAGGGTTTCTCTGTTTAGCTTTGGAGCCTGTCCTGGAACCAGCTCTTGTATACCAGGTTGGTCTCGAACTCACAGAGCTGGCATCAAAGGCGTGCACCACCACTGCCTGGCCTATAGTGTACTTTTGTTGTTGTTGTTGTTGTTATTTGAGACAGAGATTCTCTGTATATCACTGGCCATCATGGAACTTGCTCTGTAGACCCAGCTGGCCATGAACTCATTAATTCTTCTGCTTCTGCCTCCCAAGTTCTGGGATTAAAGTCATGTGCCACCACCTCCCAGCCTCTTTACTGTTTTAATAGACACCAAGGAAAGCCTACCTCAAAAGGCACAGGAGAAACATGCGTCTTCTCAACTTGGGTGTGGGGAACAAGTCACACAGAGTAGGTTTCATTCGTGCCGCCTCCACCTCTTCCCTCATGGTGGCTCTCACAACCTTCAGTAACAGCACCAAGAAACTTTAGTTTCACAAAATGATGAGCACTTTGATGCATACTGGGCACTCACAGATACCAGACCAGTATCTCCTAGTTCTGTCTCATGAAACACAGATACCAGACCAGTATCTACTAGTTCTGTTTTGTGATGAACACAGACTCACAAAGTCTAATACTCATACAGTAAGAAGTATGAACCAAGGAATTGAAGTTCTTGTGCTGTTTCTAGAGAGAACGGACCTTTTCAACAATAGGTGGCTATAGAATGTTGACATGAAGTAAACAGTTATTTAGATTCTGTTCCTAAGCTCCATTCATACTAGAATAAATTTGAATGATATGGCAATGTAGTATGGTTCTCTGATATGTTTGTCCTTGCATGTATGTGTGTTTTCTTTATTACTTTTTATCTCATCTTTTTAATCAGTGCTCCATTGTTTAGTCATTCCCTCCACCGGTGTAAAAATAGACTCAGAATATTAATTTCTTATATCCATTTTGGAGTCCTGGTTTTTGAAAGAATATGCAGTTCACTCTTGAAATGTTGTTTGCCTGGTTGGTTGTATGTTTCAGAGGCTGAGGAGCTCTTAGGAGATAAAGCTTACCTTACTTTCTTCTGTAGCTCATCTGGGGCTTTGAAGGTAGTATGTGGCATTTGTTTATGGATATGATTCTTGGTCCACCATGATGTGACAAGTTTTTATCACAAACCCCTGCATCAGTATTGCCATGCCTCTTTACTATGATTAACTGAACGTTGTAAATCTGTGAGTCAAAATCAATTTTATTCCATTTTGTTGTTTCTGTTATGAATCTTGGTAACAGTAATCTTGATGACAGCAAAGCAAAAGTAGCCAACAAAACAAATTGCTGCCAAATATGCTGTTGGTCTGACAAATCCAACCATTGTGTAGACCATGTGTTGTGATTTAGTGGTGGATTGTGGGTGAGTTTTCAAAGGCAGGATAGAGACAATGGTTCTTGTGGGAGTTCAGTATACTGAAAAGCTGATACAAATCTGAACAGTGAAGGGCTTCTCCATGAGATTTCAGTTGGGAATGGACACTTCATTGAGAATTTGGGAGATGGACATTCAGCTTTTCCTTTTGAGGAACACCACTACCAATACCAGCACCAACACCAAATTCTGGCAGTATTCTGGCCATGTTCTGAAAATTTGAGTGAGGCTAAAGTCAAAGAAGTCCACTAATTTATTTGTCAGAGGAAATTTCATGACTGCACCATATCACTAAATGTGATTCGGTGAAGAACAGGGGGTGATGAATGCCTGTGCTGAGCTAGGTTCCTGTTTCTGTGCTCTAAGACTCAAGCTCAGGGATGGCTTTTCTTTCTTTTAGGATGACTGTTTCCTCCTCAATTAATGTAATCAAGATAATCCCACAGAGGGATGGCCATGGGCTGACCTAAACTGAGACATCCCTCATGTGTCTGGAGGTTTTCTCCTAGAGGATCTTGTTAGGCTGACAACCAAAATTAACCATCATAGCTGTAATTCTTGTCAACTTGACACCCAAACACGTAACCTTTCAATCATAGCCTTCCACCTCTTGTCTCCATGATTGATAGAAAATGAGTCTATGGAGAAATACAAATCATTTGAAAGTCCAAATTCCAAGTCACATCTAAAACTCAAAGGAGTCTCTTTTTTCTCAATGACCTGCCCAATTCTGCTTTACTTTGAAAATCAATAAAATATGCCAACAGAGCCTTTCTTTCCATAACTCAAGCCTTTATATAATGAACTAATTGATGTACTTCCAGCACACTAAGAAACAGAATAAATATTCCCATTTCAAAAGAGAAGAGAGGGGATATAACAAATGACTGAACCAATGCAAGACTGAAACCCAGAATGGAAAACATTACATACTGCAGATCCACGTCTGGCATCTGCAGCTCATAATGGAATCTTGTGGACATGAAAGGAATTAAGTAGTCTTTAAATACTTTTGTTCATGGCTATAGGTTAGTGCTCATTTCAGCCTTAATAAAAGAACTTGTATTTAGTGGGCGTCAGTCATTATAGACTCAAAACAGGTAGAAGTAATGAGAATAAGTGACTATTCATTTATCATTTCTAAGTGAAATATTTCTATCATCCTTTTTTCAAAGCTACAGAAATATCATGGAAAATGGGAAGGACAGGATGAAAGGTTGAGAAGACTTGGTTGAAAATGTGTGAAACTATCTTACAGATAGGCCATTGGTATTGCACTCTTTTAACTATCATTAGCTGTGATTACATGCATGATACCTGACCAAAGTTATACCATTCAATATACCATCTTTGGAAGACCTCATGAAACCCATCTCCATTTGACAACCTATTTTTAATTAGCCCTTGATTGTGTGCAGGTACTCATAAAACCATACTCTCTCCTGAGGCTACATGGGCTGGTAATGGTTGCTAAGGAAGAGATAGACATTTCTTGACTTGTGTACCCACATGTAACTTGTCCATGTTCCTGTAGGTAAATCCTCAACATGCTTCTGTAAATAATCTCAATTAAACATATTAGATCACAAAAAGAAGCTACAAAAAGAGAGACTAGGGGACCTGAATATTGATAGAACTAGCTTTGAAGAATATGAGAATCATCGGGTATAATAATGTAATGGGGAGGTATAAATGAAACAATACATTATATGCATGTTTAAGTTTTCAGGCTTAATCCATTATGTATAACACATATATCCCTTAAAAAAGGTTAAAAGTAAAAGACATCATCGAAGATGTTCTTTTTTCACAAAGTCCTTTTTGAATGAAAGAAGTGCACGCAATGATTTAATGATGGCACATTTTATCCTGAGCACTAACTGATACATATGTCAGGCTTATATTTCCTTTATGTCACAACCAGCTTGCATTATGCTCACCTCCATGGTTAGGACATCTTCAGAGTTCTTCATTCCATTTTTGCTAGCAACTTTTCTAAGTTCCTTTAAGCCCTTCTGGGGTTTGTTGTTCACAATCAGCCACCAAGCTGATTCTGACAGCCATCTACTCAAAAAGACATGGTCACAAATTCTCAAGGGGTCATTTTCAATACTAAATTTTATTCTTGAATAGGTTAATTAATACCCTTCTGTTTCTCAAGGGGTCATTTTCAATACTAAATTTTATTCTTGAATAGGTTAATACCCATCTGACCAGCTTGCATTATGCTCACCTCCATGGTTAGGACATCTTCAGAGTTCTTTATTCCATTCTTGCTAGCAACTTTTCTAAGTTCCTTTAAGCCCTTCTGGGGTTTGTTATTCACAATCAGCCACCGAGCTGATTCTGACAGCCATATACTCAAAAAGACATGGTCACAAATTCTCAAGGGGTCATTTTCAATACTAAATTTTATTCTTGAATAGGTTAATACCCATCTGACATTCCATTATGACAAAGGTGTATGATCTTGAGTCATGAGGTACATTGCGTAGGAAAACAGGAAATGATTCAGTCACAGAGTGCACCAGCACTTCTTGAATGTAGATATCTAACCACATTGGTCTGTCCTCATATGGATACCGAATTTAATGCCAATGACAAAGAAACTAAAATTGTACACTGGAAAAAAGAAATCATCTTCAACAAATGGTGCTGGCACAACTGGATTCTGACAAGCAGACTATTGCTGATAGATCCATATCTAAGGCCATGCACAAAACTTAAGTCCAAATGGATCAAAGACCTCAACATAAATCCAGCCACACTGAACCTCCTAGAAGAGAAAGTGGGAAGTGAATGAATTGGTACAGGAGACCACTTCCTGAACATAACACCAGTAGCACAGACACTGAGATAGACAATTAATAAATGGGACCTCCTGAAACTGACAAGCTTCTATAAGGCAAAGGAAACAGTCAACAAGATAAAATGGCAGCCCACAGAATGGGAAAAGATCTTCACCAACCCCGCATCTGACAGAGGGCTGATTTCCAAAATATACAAAGAACTCAAGAAGCTAGTCACCAAAACACCAAAAAATCCAATTAAAAAGTGGGGTACAGAACTAAATAGAGAATTCTCAATAGAGGAATCTAAAATGGCTGAAAGACACTTAAGAAAGTGCTCAACATCCTTAGCCATCAGAGAAATGAAAATCAAAACAATGCTGAGATACCGTCTTACATCTGTCAGAATGGCTAAAATAAAAAACACCAATGATATTTTATGCTGGAGAGAATGTGGAGAAAGGGGACCACTCCTCCACTGCTGGTGGGAGTGCAAACTTGTACAGCCACTTTGGAAATCAGTATGGTGGTTTCTCAGGAAAATGGAAATTAGTCTACCTCAAGGTGCAGCAATACACTCTTAGGCATACACCCGAAGGATGTACATTCATTCCACAAGGACATCTATTCAACAATGTTCATATCAGCATTATTTGTAATAGCCAGAATCTGGAAGCAACCTAGATGCCTCTCAACTGAAGAATGGATAAAGAACAGGCGCCATCATTGTAATGGAGAATGCAGGGACGGCTCCCTACAGGAAGCATCTAATTGTGGGTCACAGATGATATGGGGGGTCCTTCTGCATGCTGCAAATATGTGTTGCTTTTATTTGCTGATGAATAAAGCTGTTCTGACCAATGGCCAAGCAGAACAAAGCCAGGCGGGAAATTCAAACAAAGAGATGGAGAGAAAGAAGGTGGAGTCACAGAGACGCCATGTAGCCGCCAAAGGGGTAAGATGCCAGAAAATTACTGGTAAGCCACGGCCACATGGTGATACACAGACAAATAGAAATGAATTAATTTATTTGAGAGAGCTAGTCAGCCATTGGCTAATTATATTTAATGTTAGCATCTGAATGGTTATTTGATAAGCGGCTGTGGGAACTAGTGGGCAGGATGAGAAAACACCCAGCCACACTTAGGTGTAGGAGTGAATCCGTAGGGCAGAGTCCAGCTGCATAAGCAAAGGGGCAGGACCGAGTATGGATGGATGGATGGATGGATGGATGG